CCTTCCTTCCTTCCTTCCCTCCTTCCCTCCTTCCTCCCCTCCCTCTTATTTTCTCTGAGTTTGAGGTTGTTCTGGCTGGTTTAGTTTTCCACCCTGCATTTAGCTGAGAGCATTTTGATTTCATTTTTTTAAAAAACCCAACGAAAACCAAGCCAAACTCAGCAAATTTCTGCTCAGGGATTGGCCAGGCTGGGGCTGGAACTGGTCTGACAAGAACCAGGAGCTCACAGAGGCTCCCAAACCCTCCTGGCTACCCAAATGAGGCTCCAAACCGGTCGAGCCGGAAATTTTACAATAAAATAAAAATAAATTTAAATACATTTAAAAGAAAAAAAAAAGAGGAGAACATTTGGCACCCAACCAAGGGTTAAACCTGAGCTACTCTCAGCGACTGAGGCTTTGCAAGTCAGCAGCTCGGGGTGTTTCATGTTCAGTTCCCACGCCGCTCTTGGGCTCTTTGTGGTTTTGGTTTGTTGTTTTTTAGGGTGACGACACCCTCAGTCTGCAGTTTGTAGGGCACGGGGCACCAACCCCAAATGTCCTGGCACCCCAGCAGAGGCAGCTGCCCACACAGGGGGACTCTGCACCCCCTGTGCCCAGCAGGAAAACAGAATTCAGAATTAACATAATTAACATTTAATTAACATTCAAATCCTACTCATCAGCCGGGTCTCACTTGCTGAATTTTTTTTTTCCGATTTTTTTTCTCTTTTTTGTTTTGAAGGCCTCACCACAGATGAAAGAGGCCTGGTCAGGCTCCTTCAGCCACCCCAAGCTCTGGGAAGGATTTCAAGCTTATCTTGGTCCATTTGGGCTGCTTTTCTTTAAATTTAGGGGGGAAAAATTGCTAGGAATAGTTCAGAACTGTAAAATAATGGATGTATTTGGTTTTTTTGGAAGTCAGCACCACAGATGAAAGAGGCCTGGTCAGGCTCCTTCAGCCACCCCAAGCTCTGGGAAGGATTTCAAGCTTATCTTGGTCCATTTGAGCAGCTTTTCTTTAAATTTAGGGGGGGGAAATTGCTAGGAATGGTCCAGAACTGTAAAATAATGGATGTATTTGTTTATTTTTTAAATCAGCACCACAGATGAGAGAGGCCTGGGCAGGCTCCTTCAGCCACCCCAAGCTTTGTGAAGAATTTCAAGCTTGTCTTGGTCCATTTGAGAAGATTTTCTTTAAATTTAGGGGCAAAAAATCACTGGGAATGGTCCAGAACTGTAAAATAATGGATGTTTTTGGGTTTTTTTGAAGTCAGCACCACAGATGAAAGAGGCCTGGGCAGGTTCCTTCAGCCACCCCAAGCTTTGGGAAGGATTTCAAGGTTATCTTGGTCCATTTGAGCTGCTTTTCTTTAAATTTAGGGGGAAAAAATTGCCAAGAATGGTTCAGAACTGTAAAATAATGGATATATTTGCAATAATCCTTGTAACCACCAAAAAATCCCTGTCCCCAAAACACCCCAAACAAGGCAAAGTGCTGTCAGCAGGAAGGCGACTTGCTGAATTTATTTTTTTTCCTTTTTTTTTTTTTTTTAATGCAAAATGTAAAGTGTAAAATATAAAATGTAAAATGTAAAGTGTAAAATGTAAAGCATAAAATATAAAATGTAAAGTGTAAAACGTAAAATGTAAAGTATAAAATATAAAATAGAAAATGTAAAATTTAATATATAAAATATATAATACATTATATATTAATGTAAAATTTATATAACATATTATATAATACATACAAATTTATGCAATATAATATATAATACACAATAATATATTTACATTAATATATGCAATATAACATGTAACGTGTAAAATGTAAAATAGAAAATTCAAATGTAAAATAGAAAATGTAAAATGTAAAATGTAAAGTGTAAAATGTAAAATATAAAATATAAAGTATAAAATGTGAAATATAATATATAAAATATAACATATTATATATTAATGTAAAATTTATAGAATATATTATATAATACATACAAATTTATATAATATATTATATAATACACAATAATATATTTAAATTAATATATAAAATATAACATGTAACGTGTAAAATGTAAAACAGAAAATTCAAATATAAAATGTAAAATATAAAATGTAAAGTGTAAAGTGTAAAATATAAAATGTAAAAGATAAAATATAAAATGTAATGTATAAAATATATAATACATTATATATTAATGTAAAACTTATATAACATATAATACATACAAATTTATGTAATATATAATACACAATATATTTACATTAATATATAAAATGTAAAAGGTAAAATGTAAAATGAAAAATGTGAAATATAAAATGTAAAGTGTAGAATGGAAAGTGTAATATATAAAATGTAAAGTATAAAGTATAAAATATAAAATACAAAATGTAAAATAAATATAAAATGTAAAGTATAAAATAAATGTAAAATGTAAAATATAAAATGTGAAATATAAAATGTAAAGTGTAGAATGTAAAGTGTAAAATATAAAATGTAAAGTATAAAGTATAAAATATAAAATGCAAAATGTAAAATAAATATAAAATGTAAAGTATAAAATAAATGTAAAATGTAAAATGTAAATATAAATATAAAGTATAAAATATAAAATATAAAATATAAAATATAAAATATAAAATATAAAATATAAAATATAAAATATAAAATGTAAAATAAATATAAAATATAAAGTATAAAATAAATGTAAAATGTAAAATGTAAATGTAAATGTAAATATAAATATAAATATAAATATAAATATAAATATAAATATAAATATAAATATAAATATACACCATATAAAATAAATACATAAAATATAAAATATATTTATTTTTCCAGGGCAAGCTGGCCNTTGTAGCTCCTTCCCAAAATCAGGATGGGATTTAGGATTTTTTGCTGCCATTAAATTTGGGGTTTCAGGGCCAAATCCCAAAAGGAAACGCAGAGAGCAGGAATTGAAAATTGTGCAAAAAGTTCTGGATTGGACCCAAATCCCTTCTCCAAAACACCCCCAGAGAGCGGGGAGAGCCCCCCAAAAATGCAGATTTTTGAGGGAAAAAGGCACCAAAAAGGGGGTGACACAGAGAGGTGGCAGCAGCACAATGGGGACACAGAGGGGACAAAAACCCACAGCTGGTCCATGGTGGTGGCAGCAGCAGGAATGTCCCCTCAGGGCCACCAGGGTCACTTTGGGGACACCCCCAGGTGTCCCTGCCCTGCTCCAGGTGCCAGGTGAGCCCTGCCAGGGGCTGGGACAGGACATCCCAATGTCCCCAATGTCACCCAATGTCACCCAATGTCACCCAATGTCACCCAATGTCACCCAGTGTCACCCAACAGGGCAGGGCAGAGCTGCTGCACATCCAGCAGGGTGACCTCAATGTCCCCAATGTCCTCAATGTCCCCAATGTCCTCAATGTCCCCAATGTCCTCAGGGTCACCCAATGTCCTCAGGGTCACCCAACAGGGCAGAGCTGCAGCACATCCAGCAGGGTGACCTCAATGTCCCCAATGTCCCCAGCCCTAAGTGACACCAAATTCAGGTCCCAAATCTCCACCTGGAGATGCAGCAAAAGTGACAGCAGGGTGGTGACAAGGTGACACGGCAGCCAAAGTGGCTTCACCCCCTCATCCCCAGGTGAGGGGCCCCAAAATCAGCATCCCACATTAAATTTGGCAGATTTCAGCTTCACAATAATAATACAAAAAAAGAGAAACTCACAAGCTTGCAACAGCTTTAGAAAAGGTCTGGGGTGGTGGCAGCAGCAGGAATGTCCCCTCAGTGCCACCAGGGTCACTTTGGGGACACCCTCAGGTGTCCCTGCCCTGCTGCAGGTGCCAGGTGAGCCCTGCCAGGGGTTGGGACAGGATATCCCAATGTCCCCAATGTCACCCAACAGGGCAGGGCAGAGCTGCAGCACATCCAGCAGGGTGACCTCAATGTCCTCAATGTCCCCAGCCCTGAGTGACACCAAATCCAGGCCCCAAACCCAGCACTGCCACACCTGGAGATGCAGCACCAGCAGCAAAGGTGACAATCAAGGTGACAAAGCCACCACACTGCCCAAAGTGGCTTCACCCCCTCATTCCCCATTCCAAAGCCAGCCCCAAAGTGCAGATTTCAGTTTCACAAGAACCACAATAATCATACACAAAAACACAAACTCACAAGCTCGCACCAGCTTTAGAAAAGGCACCTGGGGCATCGCCTGGGCTCAGAGCGACGCCCNAAAATGAATGGGAAAATGGATGGAAAAATAAGGCAAAAATGAATGGAAAAATAAGGGAAAAATGAACGGGAAAATGAATGGGAAAAAAAAGAGGGAAAAATAAGGGAAAATGGATGGGAAAATAAGGGAAAACAAGGGAAAAACAAGGGGAAAATGAATTGAAAAATAGGGGAAAATGGATGGAAAAATAAGGGGAAAATAAGGGAAAAATGAATGGGAAAATGGATGGGAAAATAGATGGAAAAATAAGGGGAAAATGAATGGGAA